TCTCCTCAGCTACGAGGAAAATTGTTTACAAAAGTAACTTTCGAATCAAGAGATCTTGAAAAACGAGCAAGACAATCTGCTTTTGAATTACAGTCACGAGAAATCTTTGTTAAAGAAAACGATGGAAATAATGCACGTAACAGAAGGAAATCGGCTAAGAGGTTGGAAAATGCTGGCCACTCTTGCGGGTCTTGTACCATTGCGATAAGCTCAGCACAATCTGATTCAAAAGTATGACAGTCAATACTTCTTATAAGAATACTCTCCATAGCCCATATTATCGCTTCCAATTCTGAATGAAGTTGTGAAGGATATTCCCATATTAGCGCCTAGTAGATATGTTTGCTCCTCTCCTCTGAAACACCACCACCCCAAGCCTGTAAACGTATTCCCTGACTTCCACGAACCATCAGTTCGACATCGAAGGATTAGCGAAGGAGTAGGTATAGGTTCTAATGGTGGAATTGCTTCAGTCGGAATAGTTTGTGGCTCTTCCCATAATAATTGTTCACTTAACCCCTGATTTATAATGTCAACCGGTTCTGACTGAATTCCTTGGAAAACCTTTTTATTTATATCCTTCCATAGAAACCACAAAATCCATGGAAATAAATATTTTTTCTCCTTCTCCCTCAACCAAGGAATCACACTCCAAAAAATGAAGTATAGATGCACAAATCTCGAGTTATAAGGAAAACCTCCTTGGAGCATTGAAATTGTAGACAAATCCCAAATTCGCCTCAAATGCGTACATTCAAAAAGCGCATGTTTAATTGTCTCGATTCCGAGAAGCTAAGCAATCCATGACCGGAAGTGAACCAGTGGCAACTTGCCAAATAAAATGTTTGATTTTTGGGGGAGCACGAATATGCCATGCATACGCTTTTAAGGCAGTATAACTTGGATTCTCTTCAGCCTCTCCACTCAAATTTTGTGCTAACCAGTACCCAGATTTAACCGTATATTTTCCTGATTTTGTATACTGCCAAATCAATCTATCTGGCTTATATGTTTTACCTATAGATATACCTTTAATGATACGAATATCCTCCGGATGCAAAATTCATTCAGGATGGGTAATAAAGTGATTAACCTTTAGATTTGGGTGAAGCAAACTTCCTCGTCCAGAAGCTGGTCGTGGATTAATATCAGGTATCCAAGGATCTTTCCACACCGAAATGTCAAATCCTAACCCTATAGACCAACGTGCCCCCTTTTGTACCATACTCTTTGTCCAAAAAATACTTCTCCATCCAAAAGATTATTAGTGTAATTAGAATTTGTTAGATAATAGTAGTTTTGGGTATTCTATAACTTATTATCATTATACTTTGAAATTTTTATTATGCCTGAAAATTTCTGTTTTTATTTGGCCATTAAAAGGAAAATATTAAAACCTTTGTATTGTATAACATAATATATTTTTTCTTATTACAAAGTATAATGTTTTAGTTTTTGGTTGTGAATATATGTTGTATACGTAATTCTTTTCCATCTTAAATGTAAAGAATCTAATTCTATAAAACCAAACAGGTTAATTGTCTATTTGGGTCAACAAATCTGAAAACTTTGTCAACAACAAACCAAAGCAATAAATGATGTAAAAAAATACAAGAATTAAGGGTATGTTTTGTTTTTAAGCTCTCGTCTCTTTGTGGTTCATCTACTTCACATAATCGATTCAATATCACTTCGACAGTTATGAAACATTCAGATTCTAATCTTTTTCCACCTTCATCTCTTTTAGTTATTTAAAAATATGATCTAAAAGATGCTTATAGATTTGGTTTTATCCTATATGGACGGAAATTTCAGAAAATACATTTCAGATCTCTTAAGGGAATGGTTCAGAATCATAATCCAGAATTTTAAATATCACTGTAATTTCAAATAATGGTCACCCATGTATGCATTCAACATCTACACTTGGTCGATTTGTCATAATTAAACACATGTTTATGCACAAAAAATACAATGCATGCAATGCAAAGCCTAGATTCTACAAGGCAAATATGTATAAATGATCAAGTAATGAGACCTAGAATGACAAAAACAATGCATAAAACTAGTGCTAAAATGAGTAAATCCAGACATATCAACTCCCCCAAACTTATTCTCTGTTTGGCCTCAAGCAAATTCAAAGTAGGAAGAGAGGTTTGAAGGTAGGGATTCATAACCAATACTTGTTGCTAAAGTAGTTAAAATCAATGTCCTTGTCTATAGTTCTAGAATGCAAATCATATAAGCCATACTCTGAAGACTTTAGCCTCGCTTATCTCAACACAAAATGTCATCAGTTATAGAACCTAGGCAAGCATTCAAATCAACCATTCTTTTTAACATTCTTTAAGTAGTAACCATGAATTTGGATGTGAAGTGAATACAAAATCATTTGGCTAGGTATGAAAAATATCAAGAGAGAAAGAGGGTCTCCTTTAAACAGATTTAAAAGTTTAAGTACAGGGGTCTCTCAGTGAACAAGATTGAGCTTTTTGGAGAATGCTAAAGGTAAGGGACCAACAACTTGGAAGATAAGTTAGAAACCCTAAACTATGAACCCTCTATTATATATATTTGTCACTTTACCTATACAGAAAACATGGTTAGATACTATCCTAGACCCTCCCTCAAACTTAAATTACACAGTCCCTATGTAACAAAAGCAAGTAGAATGATCTAGGATCTAAACAACAGAAACTCTAAATGAAATGCAACGGTATAAACAATGATATAGAGAAGGTGTGTACCTCATGGGTTGAAGAAATAAGAGCCCATAGCCTGGCTCATCAGGTCATAAGTGTAGCTTGGAATGTTCTCTGCATCTATGGTCGGATGCCTAGTCGGGTAGGAAATCGATTGCTTGTTCTTGTTCATCCTCTGATTCAGACTCGGACCGAAGCTCTTGTTACACTCGATCAGATGCTGTCGCTGAGCTCCTCCTGAACAGACTTTTCCTTGTATCAAATGAGGGTATGGGCTGAGGTAGGAGATCAATCTTCGAGGCTCCATGTGTGGAGTAACTCCTGGGCATGACAGATGGTGCAGCTGCAGGAGGAGGTCCTGCTGGAGAAGAAGAACAACTAACCTTCTTTTGTATTTCTTTGATATGAGCTCCCATGTCCTTAACTCACTTCTTCAATGCTTTGATTGTCATAGCTTGAAACTTGTTCCACTTCTGAAGAAGGTTGATATTCTTGTGAGCATCCTTAAGACTAGCTTGTCTTCCCTGAGTCTCTTGACTCTGCTCATATCTATACCCACATCAGCCTCTTGACTCTCCTCATCCATCATATCTATACCCACATTAGCCTCTTGACTCTCCTCATGAACAGCTTGTGAACTAATAGAACCATACAAAAGCTGAGTGGCAAGCCAAAAGTCAATTTTCAAACCTGTTCCTATCAAAGTAACTTCTGCATTAGGAAGAATAATCCTAGAAGGTAGAGCGGAGGGATGGGTAACTTGTAGAGAAACCTTCCTCCCACATTCTCATGAGCAATGAAGCGGTTTCTCTTCAATTAATCTATTTCAATGAATGCAGGCTTGTGCACTCTTCCCAACAAATTCACAACACACGCCACACGCAATGGCGTAATAATAACTCTTATATAGAATTCTTCTCTAGAACCTCTAACACGCATTCTTGCTGCCTAATCTTTTAAGTACATCAACAGATCTAGCAACACAAATGTGAGATCCCAATCGTCCCTATCACTAGCTAGAACCGTTCCATTCCTAGTATTACTCAACACTCCAGACAAGGCAATTTCTATCATTTGAAGTTCTCCCTCATTCAAGTTCCCAGTTCTTTATGCAAGTACCTGATCATTGTACTTCGTATTTGAGCACTCTTTGTCTTTGTTGAAGCATAGACTTCATTGTTTCCAATTGTTGCCCATAGAGCTCTCAACTCCTCCTTATCAATTCGCTGGTTAATCCCTTAACCGGTCTTGAACCCATAAAGCTTGTTGATCTCCTTGAATGAAAGCCTGTTCTCACGACCTCTAACTGTGAATATGATGTAGCCTAAACCATCCTCCAGAAACATTTCAGCAAAATCGTCATAGAACTGAACATGCAGAGAACTCAAGAATTGGCAAGTTTCCTCCTTAAACGTTTTTGTGTTCATCTTCATTAGATCATTCACACCAAACATTTCAAATAGATACTTGGCATCTCTAGCAATCCCCAACTTAACCATTATCTCCTTATGCGGGAAACAAGTTACTAAAATCTTCATCTCTTTGAAGATTATGTAAAGCTCTTCATGATTCAACTCTCTCATTCCCTGCATTGATTGCTCTTCTACTGCATTTTCCTCTGTATCCTCAATCATAGGCTCTCTAGCAGGTCTCTTTCCCAATGAAATGTGCTCTCTTGCCCTTAAGAACTCAACACTTGCTCTCGCATAACCCTGTTCATCATCAGAATCACCACCATCAAGCTGTTCAAACTCGATTTTCTTCTTTGCAGACCGAGATGAAAAGGTCCATTGTTCCTTCCGTGGTATTCTTTATGATAGATTATTTCCAAGTATGATGTTGGTGATTGGCTTGAAATCGAGAATTTCAAAGTCTTGGATCAATATGGATCTTGCAAAACTACTACTTATCGATACAAATTTATTATTTTGTGTCAAACCATGATTAAGAAGGTTATGATTGTTGGAGGTGGAGAGTATTTTGATTTTATCGATTATAAACATATATTGGATGGTTCTCATTGTGATGATTACTTGGTCGGTAAGTTATTTCAACATTATGTTTTAAGATGAACTAAAACTATGATTTTTGTCTGCTTCCATATTATTTTACATTAAGATTTGTATTCATACTGATTACTTTTCATATTTTTAGATATCATTGGAGAGGTTATACACGTAGGAAAGTTTGATACTTGGCACCATATAGACAACGACAATGAACAGAAAAATAGCAATCAAGCTGTGTCTAAATCAAGCTCCGTTTATATTCGTCATCTCTTTAAGTTTATTTGCCGAGATGAACTGTCCAACAAGGGATGCACTTCCAACGTTCGTTGTCTTTATGATTCTGAACTCAAAGATTCTGACGATGATAGTATTCACAGTGATGATATTGACGACAGAAGCAATTGATGAGGACTATGAGCAAGCTGAAGAAGAAGAAGATGAAGAAGATGAAGGTTTTTATGAGATAATGGATACAGAAAACGATGAATATGGGAGCGATGGATACGGCGACAGTAGTAATACTGAAGAAGAAGATCATGAAAACGATGAAACTGAAACTGAAACTGAAGGATATGATGATAGTGATAGCGACGAAAAAGATCATGGTTATAATGATACACAAGAAGAAACAGATGATGAGGAGGAATATAATGCAAGTGAATCTAATGAAGATGAAGAAAAAAGAAGAAGAGGATATTGGTAATCAAAATGTCGACGAAGAGGCCGATGACCAAAAAGATTATTTTATACACCATAAGATTTCTTTTGATCTTCGAAACACTAGGTATTTTTTTCTAATTATGCAAATATTTATTATAGTTCATTTTCATTATAAATATATCTGGTATGATTATATATACCTAATGTTTATATTTGCTCTTGCCAATATAGTGGAGTAATTTTAGGATGTGAGTTGATTGGATCATCGGCCGTTAACTTCTTTAAAGCCTACAAAACTTTACAAAACCAAAGTCTGATTTGTGTGATTTGATGGGAGAGTGGTAGATGTTTTACAAGGTACATGTTCATGTGATTATTCTTTAGCTAACATGTTTTATCAAAGATAATTTTGTATATTTGTTATTTAATATATTAAAAGATTGTTATTCTTATCATAGGAAAAAGAACTGTGTCTAACACCATTTGTACCCAAATAAGACTCAATCCAAAGATTCCCGAGGTCGACAACTTTGTAGCAATGTAAGTTTATTTACATCTACACATATTATAGTTAACCTTTGTTATGTGAGTGATATAGCTTTGTTTTCAATCTTATTTTCTTAGGAATCCAAGGAGGTCCACCCGCATAAGTAGACAACATCTATGATTAAGAGAATTGCTATATTTATTTTCCATTTTTTTCATAACATCTATGAATAAAATTTTATTTTATGTTCATAGTTTATATTCTTTAACAAAATAGTCTCGATTAAAGGAGTAGTCAAAAGGCTCACGTTCGCTCTCAGAAAAAATAACTAAGTTACCCTTAATGGAAAAATACCTCTGGGTTATAATTTTTTTCTTAAGCCTTACTTAATTTAAAAAACTATTAAAATCGAGTGTTTTGAAAACAAAATCAAAGATTTAGCTCAGCCCGGATTACCGTTTTATCATTAATGAAAAAATTCCCCTAACTTAAAATTTTTGGTTAGTTCTTATTTAATCAAAACCTAACGATAAAAAATGGAAAAATCTAACCTAAAATTGGAAATTTTATAACTAAAGCCGGAATTGTTTTATAAATTTTACCATAATCAATGTGAATAACTTTCACTTGAACTAGATATAACAAATACCATATATATTATAATTACAATAATTTATAATATTATAATAATAAAAAGGTTCTAATGTAACAAAACATTATTTTGACAAAAACAAATTAGAGCTTGCGGATCAATATGTTAAACGGGTTAGAAAGAATATGTTATATGATGAATTAAATATTATTTTGAAACTTTAAACTTTAAGGAATAAAAATACAAAATTCTAACATTTTGTATTGTATATTTTGGATAAAATATTTTATGACGGTATGCTGCTGGTTAAAACTAATATTCAAACCTCCCTAAAAATGATATAAAAGACAAAAAAAAATACATGATCAAGTTCTATATACCACTTAATTCTCAACCTTCAGATTAAATCATTCAAAACAATTGATAACGCTAGGAACCTAACCTCTTGCTTTCACAAACTGTTACACGTGTAACCGCAACTACTTTGTTTTAATTAATCAAACTATATATCCACAAAAACATATTTTTATATTAAAGTAGTATTTTAGATAAACCATCATACCATAATTTCTATTAATCATAAAAAAAAATACAAACATTGTTCCGCGGCGTACCGCGGGTTCAACCCTAGTTAGTAGTAAAACGGCTAACATCTCATTTCCCCTCAAATTTAAATGTTGTATAAAATTCTGAAAATTGAAACAAAACACAATATAATTATTTGAATGTAATTATAAGGCCTTAACTAATTACACTAATTGTAAAGGAAGTACAGTTCAATATGATTTGAATGTAATTATAAGGCCTTAACTAATTCCACTAATTGTAGACGAAGTACAGTTCAATATGATTTTCTTTTAATTATGGTATAACCGTATAATGGCTTGTCTAGTGCTGTTTTGGGTTAAAATATATTAGAATATTATAAATTTGACTGATTAAAAGTGCTAGAGATACATGGAGAGTCTTTAGAAGTGTAAAGAAAGACATGTTGAATTTGTCCCAAATGGGCTAAGAACGCAGAAACATTGCGTTGAACCACTAAATGGCTTGTCTAGTGTTGTTTGGGGTTAGAATATGTTAGAATACAATAACTTTGATTGATTACAAGTGCTAGACTAGAGAAGCATGAAGAGTGTTTAGAAGTGTGTAGAAAGAGTGGTTGAAATTGGGTCCCAAATAGGCTAAGCACTCGGAAACATTGCGTTGAACAACTAAATGACTTATCTAGTGTTGTTTGGGGTTAGAATTTATTAGAATACAATAAATTTGATTGTTTACAAATGCTAGAGATGCATGAAGAGTGTTTAGAAGTGTGGAGAAAGACTTGTTGAAATTTTGTCCCAAATGGGCTAATCAAGCGGAAACAATTAATTGAACAAGGAAATAGTTTTTGTGGTGTTGTTTGAGGTTAAAATATGTTAGAATACAATAAATTTGATTGATTACAAGTGCTAGAGATGCATGAAGAGTGTTTAGAAGAGTGTAGAAAGACTTGCCAAAATTTGGTCCAAAATGGGCTAAGAAATCGGAAACATTGCGTTGAACAAATAAATGGCTTTTCTAGTGTTGTTTGAGGTTAAAATATGTTAGAATACAATAACTTTAATTGATTACAAGCGCTAGAGATGCATGAAGTGTGTTTAGAAGAGGGTGTAGAAAGACTTGCCAAAAGTTGGTCCAAAATGGGCTAAGAAATCGGAAACATTGCATTGAACCAGTAAATGGCTTGTCTAGTGTTGTTTGGGGTTAGAATATGATAGAATACAATAAATTTTATTGATTACAATTGCTAGAGATGCAAGAAGAGTGTTTAGAAGTGTGGAGGAAGACTTGTTGAAATTGGGTCCCATATGGGCTAAGAACTCGGAAACATTGCATGGAACCACTTAATGGCTTGTCTAGTGCTGTTTTGGGTTAGAAGGTGTTAGAATATTATAAATTTAACTTATTAAAAGTGCTAGAGATACATGAAGAGTCTTTAGAAGTGTGGAGAAAGACTTGTTGAATTGGTCCCAAATGGGCTAAGAACGCAGAAACATTGCGTTGAAACACTAAATGGCTTGTCTAGTGTTGTTTGGGGTTAGAATATGTTAGAATACAATAACTTTGATAGATTACATGTGCTAGAGAAGCATAAAGAGTGTTTAGAAGTGTGTAGAAAGAGTGGTTGAAATTGGGTCCCAAATAGACTAAGCACTCGGAAACATTGCGTTGAACCCCTAAATGACTTATCTAGTGTTGTTTGGGGTTAGAATCTGTTAAAATACAATAAATTTGATTGTTTACAAGTGCTAGAGATGCATGAAGAGTTTTTAGAAGTGTGGAGAAAGACTTGTTGAAATTGGGTCCCAAATGGGCTAAGAACTTGGAAACATTGCGTTGAACCACTAAATGACTTATATGGTCTTGTTTGGGGTTAGAATATGCTAGAATACAACGATTTTGATTGATTACAAGTGCTAGAGATGCATGAAGAGTGTAGAAAGACTTGGCAAAACTTGGCCCAAAATGGGCTAAGAAATCGAATCATTGCGTTGAACCACTAAATGGCTTGTCTAGTGTTGTTTGGGGTTAGAATATGTTAGAATACAATAAATTTATTTGCTTACAAGTGCTAGAGATGCATGAAGAATGTTTAGAAGTGTGGAGAAAGACTTGTTGAAATTGGGTCCCAAATGGGCTAAGACCTCGGAAACATTGCATGGAACCACTTAGTGGCTTGTCTAGTGCTGTTTTGGGTTAAAATATATTAGAATATTATAAATGTGACTGATTAAAAGTGCTAGAGATACATGAAGAGTCTTTGGAAGTGTGGAGCAAGACTTGTTGAATTGGTCCCAAATAGGCTAAGAACGCAGAAACATTGCGTTGAACCACTAAATGGCTTGTCTAGTGTTGTTTGGGGTTAGAATATGTTAGAATACAATAACTTTGATTGATTACAAGTGCTAGAGAAGCATGAAGAGTGTTGAGAAGTGTGTAGAAAGAGTGGTTGAAATTGGGTCCCTAATAGGCTAAGCACTCGGAAACATTGCGTCGAACCACTAAATGACTTATCTAGTGTTGTATGAGGTTAGAATATGTTAGAATAGAATAACTTTGATTGGTTACAAGCGGTAGAGATGCATGAAGGGTGTTTAGAAATGTGGAGAAAGACTTGTTGAAATTGGTACCCAAATGGGCTAAGAACTCGGAAACATTGCGTTGAACCACTAAATGACTTATTTAGTGTTGTTTGGGGTTAGAATACGATAGAATACAATAACTTATATTGATTACAATTGCTAGAGATGCAAGAAGAGTGTTTAGAAGTGTGGAGAAAGACTTGTTGAAATTGGGTACCAAATGGGCTAGGAACTCGGAAACATTGCATGGAACCACTTAATGGTTTGTCTAGTGCTGTTTTGGGTTAAAATATGTTAGAATATTATAAATTTGACTGATTAAAAGTTCTAGAGATACATGAAGAGTCTTTAGAAGTGTGGAGAAAGACTTGTTGAATTGGTCCCAAATACGCTAAGAACGCAGAAACATTGCGTTGAACCACTAAATGGTTTGTCTAGTGTTGTTTGGGGTTATAATATGTTAGAATACAATAACTTTGAATTATTACAAGTGCTAGACTAGAGATGCATGAAGAGTGTTTAGAAGTGTGTAGAAAGACTGGTTGAAATTGGGTCTCAAATAGGCGAAGCAGTCGGAAACATTGCGTTGAACCACTAAATGACTTATCTAGTGTTGTTTGGGGTTAGAATATGTTAGAATACAATAAATTTGATTGATTACAAGCACTAGAGATGCATGAAGGGTGTTTAGAAGTGTGGAGAAAGACTTGTTGAAATTGGTACCCAAATGTGCTAAGAACTCGGAAACATTGCGTTTAACCACTAAATGACTTATCTAGTGTTGTTTGAGGTTAGAATATGTTAGAATACAATAAATTTGATTGATTACAAACGCT